GAAGGGGCGGCAGCCGTTGTTGAGTCGCGCGACCCCATCCGCGAAGGTAGCGTGCGCGACTCAGGCCGTGGTCCCAGGCCTTCTAGCGTCAGCCGGGTCCGCGGAACAGTGCCGACGGCGCCTCCGTCCATGGCTCCGGCAGCTTGCGCCTCCTGCGAGGAGACCTCCACACGAAGCACACCACCAGGCTCGGAGCCAGGTCCACGCCGCCCTTGACACTTTTCATGCTGGTCCCAGTGGAGTACGACTGTGACGCGCCCTTTGTTGTCCATGATCTTCCATGAGGGCTCCAGGTCCATCAATTCCAGGCTGGCAATGGCGTCGCACACGATGCGTGGTATTGCTGTGATGGCTAAAGTGGGGAAAGTGGGGACAAGGGTCGATAGAGCAACCCAAGAGACTCTTGGAATTGGAACAGGATTCCACAGGCACAGGTACTATCTGCAGTCATTCAAATCTGAACAGTGCACTGTTTCAGTTTTGTTTGGGAGGTATTGGTGGGCTACCCGGTTGGCCATTATAGATTTAACGACAGCGCTCTTGTTATGACAAACACACATGGGGACTATTGTTTATCTGTGTCTCAAGAGCGTTGTCTCCAAAACAATAGAATGTTCTCGCGCATCCAGGCAAAAACCAATAGGTATGAACATGTGCAACTAATTGCAATGTGACATGCACATGTTGCTGAACTGCAGATAGCACAGCAGTTAATGCACCCTAAAGCGAGCATGCTGACCAGGGAAGCTTGAAATACATGCACTTTTTTGGCTCGAGAAATGTTACTATCATTAGTACATGTGCATTCACTATTTAGGCAACATGACTGGTGTTAGATGAGAGGACTCATAACTAGAGACTGGATTTTAGGCAAATAGCTATCTTGCTCCTTGCGCTCCTACTGCTCTACTTTGATATAAGAGTACGAATTTCAGTTTAGGAGGCACATTTATAGTGTTTTTCTGGTACCTATGAATGCTTGCCGTGGTGTTCGCGCCTAAATTCCTACCAAGTACCTATACATTCCCAATTTCAAAATCAGCGCCAGTATGAACACTATCTCCCAAGTTTTACTCTCACTGCAGTTTGAGAACATTATTCATGCTATCAAGCCACATTGACTGTTCCTGACTCTATTGGGGCTGAACCTAGTCGTATAGTTCAACTAACCCGGCGAACAATCACTAGCAGCAACGAAGTGTAACACGCCAGCCAGCATACGCCACCATGCGCTGACATGGTGCAAGTGGTTGGCAAATGCGAGACGGCTGAGAGTCGTCAGGAAAAGGAGAGTGAAGAGCAAAAGAAATGTGATATGCACACAACTTTTTTACGACTCCTTTTTTTTTTGTAATCTACATTTTCAGGTGTTCACCATCAGGAGCGAAATTGACTTCACGTGGCTCGACATGACCACTATGAGGCACTCCTTTCTGGTTTTTTAGCAGTCTGGCTATCTGCTCTGACCTTCTCAGTCACGCCAAAAAGAAAAACAACCGGCAGTGTGTTGATTTGACAGTGGGCACGCGACTCTCCATGCTGAAGTTAGCACACCGTGCATTGGAAGTGCGACGCTAATGAGAGAGTGGAGCTGAAGGGCACCTAGGTAGTTTTGGATGTTGCTGTGTTTTGCTAGTTTCTTTTTTTTTTATTCCTCTATTTATTTCTTCTGTCTTTTCCCATTTTTCGTGTATGTCCTTCAGGTCTTAATTTACATTTCTGTTTCTCTACTTCTTGGTCTTTCTACCCTTTCTCTCTCTTTTCTAACTTCCTCTTTCTTTCTCTCACTCTCTATTCCTCCCTTTTATTCTGCTCTTTCTTTTTTCCGTCTTTCGTTGTCTATTTCTTTCTTCGCTATGTCTCCTCCTTTATTCCCCCCCCCCCTAAATTACATCTGTCCTCCTTATTCTCTTTCCTTCCTCCTTGCTATACTACACTATATGGGACTATGCTGCGCTCTCCTAGTGTGCCTGGACTGCCGCGTAATTAAGACACTCACCTTCGGATTGTGGGTATGCGGGTTCGAATCTCGCCATGTGAAGAAATTTTTCCCCCCTAGAATTTCTCTCTGAACTCATTGTCTCACCCATTACAGTTACTGCATCCTGCGACAAAAATATGCACACGCGTTGTCGGAGCAAAGCAGAAGATGAAGAGTGTGACGAAGAAGAGAACGAAGAGAGCACGTGTAAGTTTATGATGACGAGTTTTGCTTTTCCAAGAGCGATTATGCCTGGCTCACACAGCTTTGTAAGTTAAAGGAGTATTGACAAGAACTTTAATTATTTTCAAGTTTTTGCTTTAAATCAAAACACAGTTGTCGAAAACACTAAAGAGAGTGCCGTGGGGCTTGGAAAGTCGCCGTATATATCTCCAATACAGCTAACTTAACTCAACAACTTCAATTTCAGTATCGAAAGGGTGGCTTCGCAGTGAAGTTTCAAGAGGGGTCTGACGTCACAAGAAGACTGCAACTCGCCACATACTAGCAACAGCAGCCCGTTTGCTGTCAGTCGCACGTGGTTCACGCAAACAACAATGGGAGAATTAAAGTCCAGAGACTGACAGCGATTTCTGCTACTTAGGCTGAATGCAGGACGAATATTTCTCAAACATAGTGAAATGCATTGACTTGACGTGATAATGCCCATTGCGGTGAGGCTGGCTTGGTGATGTTGGGCGATGAACTTTAAAATCAATGTATAATATTTTCTACGTGTTGTCTGGCTCGGGCGTGTGCAGAACGTTGATAGTGCACAGCATGAAAATGAAAGATGTTCCTTCTGGGGTGCCTCAAATCATGTCAGTACTCCTTTCAAATGTAAACAGACAGACTACGTTCTGCGAACCTCGCGGGACAAAGGACAACTGAGGGCTATCTTCAAGTGCTGGCACCTTTGCCATCATAAACAATATTTCTTGATTTCCTGTTGTAGACACAGGTCACACATGCCTTTGCACGCACGCATTTGTGTAAAAGTTTATTGTGCCCACATTTATAATTTTGGCAGGCCTGAAACATTCTGCCTGCCCATTATAGGTGCCTAGGAAACGCCTCTTTATTGCTTAAAATCCAGCCTCTATTCATGAGTTTTAATGCTTCAACAACACTTAAGCAAGCATATCTTGCAAGGGCATACTTGAGGAAACTGCATTAATAAGTTAGTCAGTTGTCAGCTATGTGTCAAACAAGCAAGCAGCCAACAGCTTCCTCTATGAGAATAACGGCTTGCCTGTTATTGCCTTCATTTTCCTGTTTCCTAGAAGAAACCTTTCATCATGTCATGCTTTCTGGATGGCCATTACACAGGTGTATGTGTTTAAAAAACAAGAACAAAGGAAAAGCAAGGGAGAACTTTATTGGCATGAGTACAAAAGTTAACTCCAAAGCAACATATCGAAACAAGGTTATACAGAGAAAAAAGGGTTTAAATAAATAAATAAATAAGATGTGCCTACACAAAATATGGGCAAAGAATTATGACAAAGAAATCGTAAAATTATGTACAAGTTTTGAAATTGAGGAAATACTGTGCACTCTAGACAAGCCATTTATTTGTGGAAAAATTACAACAAAAAGGGTGATATAAGATGTAAACACATGAACAAGTAGTTAACATTTTCTTTCCAAAATGAGTGCGAAAACAAGATGAATGCTGAACAGAACACAGAAAGCAAACTAAAGTTTGTTCAACCAAACAAACACCTCTGGTTATTCTCGGCAAGCAGACATAGGAAGGTCAATAACCGTTCATAAACTACAGCGCAGCCAGATAAACATAACCACACGCAGAAGGGAACCCAAACATGAAATCTAAGAAGTTACAAGGCCCCCATTCCAGCGATTTCAATTTTCGGGGGGTTATTTTTACCTTACATGCACAACGACTTGAAGCACAATGACCTGCACTCATGTTAGACAAGCGCTTTGAACTACCCTGTCGATGAACAGCTATTTGCTTTTTAGACTAAACGATAAACTTGAGGAAAGTGACACTGCTCATCAATAAGGACTAGCATTGCAGATTAAGAAAAAGTGACTATCGTAAAAGAGCTTCAGCTGAGGCATCAAACTCAATACGATGCCGTGTCAAATCATACAGGTAATATTGCACATTATGGTATGATAACAAGAAGAGATGAGCGCTGAACACGAGGAAAACATAGAGAGCAAAGTGTGCAATGAACGCTGCACCTAAACAATTGTTGAGCTAGAAACCAAGATATAAACAAAGCAGTTTGAAAACCAAACGTTTGCATGCATGCTTGCATTATGTGCTGTGTTCAGATATCTTCCTTTCTTGCTTTCCTTTGTTTTCTTTTGTTTTGTTCCCATGCAGAAAACCTAACAACAAGATTTCACACTATTGACTATTCTAGTCATTCTCTGTTTTCATGTGTGCTGTAGTTTTAAAATTCTCCGAAATATATTTTTGTATCACGTGAATATATGCAACAACTACACCCAGAATCCTCGGTGAACCATAAAAGTGGCTGGCATATCGAAGCCATTTGTTCTCTAAAACACCCTTCCATAGTTGTATCTTTCAAAGATACAATCGCTATTGCTCAAAGGCTGAACTCCATGGGTGATGGAGGCTTGAAACGACGAAAGATCATTGAACAGGGAATATCGCCGGAGCCAACGTTTTAAAGAGGGGAGCTGTCTCTATCGAAACGCAAGCTCCATCAGCATTCCCTGCGCATTAATTATAAATCGCTTGAAAGAATGACTCACTGGTAAATAGAATAATAGAAAATGAAATGCCTAGTTAAAAATAGAAAGTGAACTCCATAGATTAGGATTATTCGAAGTGCGCAACTGTTTGTAGACAGCTTCACAGTCATGGGACTGGCTCCGCAGAAGCTTTTATGCGGAGAGAACCAAATAAACCAATGCGCTTTCAAACAAATCATGCCAGCTGTCAGCAAAGTTTCCATCCACTAAACGTGACAAAGTAAAAGAAAAGCATTCCCTCTCTGTAACTCGAGATGCTCACCTGCTCTTAGGGCCTCTACTCCGGGTGGTAGCCATTTTTCATTTGGCTGTAGCATTAGGAATACCGTGTCTCTCTCCGCTCGCTGGAAATAGTTTTCATCTTCCACTTCGGTGCCATCTTCTTCGAGCACGACCTTCAAGTCAAACGGGTTGTTGTATCCTAACTTGGCAGCTCCTAGAAAGCATCGGAACAAGGCCTTTGAAATGAGGGAACTCTACTCCAAAAAACAGTGCTGTCCTCAATAGGTTAGGCTCAAAACACATGGTGCAACTGACGTGCGACTTAGATGCACTGTTGTTACTGGTGTTACTGCACGCAAGAAAAAATCGTGTAACCGCATGATTGTAAGGGGAGCTGTGTTGCACAACGCTAGTTTCTTACAATCCTAAGAAACGCTGCTGCGCTCTTGGCACCTCAGTAAAACGCTTCAGAATATAAGTGCAGCTGCTTGCTGCAATGTTATCTGTGAAACACACCAAGCAATTCTAGTATTAGTCTGCTAGCATTAAACCTGAAAAACACATATAGGTGAACTTGTTTATAAGGATGCTACGTCTTCTGTAATAACGGTTGTATTACTACGCTAATACCCCCCAAAAATCATTTTTGAAAGGCTTTGTGAATAAACTGAGCTCTTCAGCAAATCTACAGTGACCCCGCATATATCGAACCCACACATAATGAACTATTGTGGATATCGGACGGTTGTTAAGTCTACTTGAATATATTTTTATGTACATATAGGATATTCATATATAGAACTCTCTATACGAAGAACTTTCTAGCAATCACCTTCAGACTAGAAATACCCCCCAGGTTCATTATATTTTCATTTGACACGCACCAGAAAATGCTCTGTGAGTAGCGGGGTCGTAGAACTCTTACTCCCTATGTGTCGCAGTCGAATAGCTTTTTCTCAACTACAAGGCTTTGTGGGGCATTGGTGCTTTATATAATTACGAGGTAGCATGTTTCCGCTCTATGTGCAAGCAGTGTGCACTATGATCACTAGTCCCTTAACTGTGTCACTTCGCAACAAGACTTCAGATCTACAGTCCTTCAATGCACACTCAGGTAATATTCGGCTCATATCTTGCTCCCAGAATAGAGAAAGATGTCTAGCTAATGCTACATTGAAATTTATATGACATGTACATGTCCCTTACACACTTATCGCGTACAATTTTTTAGGTTGCAAATGTAAGTGGCAAGAGTGTAATTACTTTATATGTACGAAACAGCTTGGTTTGGTTTATGGGGCTTGACGTTCCAAAGCAACTTGGTCTACGCGAGATCTAGCAGGTGTCAAATCCACCGTTTCTAGACAAGTAGACGCTGTGGCCACATTTAAAACTGCTGAGATGCTTAAAACGATGTATGTGGACTGAACAAAGCTACACAGCATAAAAGTATAATTTTATACACAATGACGTCTGTTCATGAACAGAAAGATAGCCCTTGACTGTAAGCGATGTAGTCACCATCCTGTATGTAAACTGTAGCCTGAGCAATTTTGTTTTCTTTTCGCAAAGGGCTTATGCGTGTATATAATGTGGGGAAGCAATATTTCAAGAAAATTAAGAGTTGGTCTGCCATGACATGACCAACCCCACACATTTTGTTAAAGAACATCACCGATTTTGTTTTGAAGACTCTTTGATGTTTGTTCTTTTATCATGCCTCCTTCAGAATAATTGCCTCGTAGCATGCCAAGTCATTTATTACTTAAGGACAGTGATATACCAATCCTGATTATACTGTGATGTCTACTGTGTCCGACTAGAAGCATATAATTATTTTTTATTTGTTCGTGCCTAAAACGCTTGCCAAGCACCGACCACTAGCCAATGTAGGCTAACGGTCTAGGTAGTTTGTAATAATTGCTTAGCTTTTTTTTTTCAATAAATTAAGCTTTATTGATTGAATACAGAGGCCAAATTTACACAAAACACTATTTAGGAGATATTCCAAATGACTCCTTTTTTCTTGTTCCTTGCAAAATCATAAATTAAAGCAACATGCCAATAGACACACTGGATAAAAAAGTCACAAGGGCCCCAAGAAACACAAGTCACTGTTAAAATGTTAGCTGTAGCTGATTTTCCTCCTGACCCAAAGTTAATACAACGGGTATTTGCAAAGTACAGCAGCAATTTCTGGCACTCGATTCATTCCTGCACCCAAATTCTAGAACAGTATGCAATCCAATTTTTCAGCTCGAGTCCGGCAAACGATTCATATAATCTGAATTTGATGTATGTTGAAAAACAACCCACCTCACGTCTAAAAAGTCTGTCATTGCAAAAACAATGTGCAGTTAAAGGGCTCAAACATGAATCACTTTGCTTTAAAACATTTAATTATTTTAGACTGATAAATGATACTTTGAAATTTCTAGTCTTGTATTGAGAGATAGGAAAACCAATGCCAAAAATTTGGCTTTCCGTAAAAATTTTCTATGGTGATGTCATAGATTTCGAAGTGCTTTTTTCTTCCGTAAGCTTGGTATGTTAAGCCTCTGGCTCCTTCAGAAGACAATGTACTTCATTTTTACCATAGGCCCTAGCAAAGGCCATCAAGACCTATGACATTGACAATTATTATTCCCAACTTACATTGCATAGTTTTTGATCACAACACTGAATTCGTGTTTGCTACCAGCTTTTTTTTTTTTTTTGTACCTGCATGTCAAACTTGTATGCCCACGTACCTTCCATGGTCCCAGAAAGAGACTAGCAGTATTCTAAATAAATAAATAAATCACGACAATTGGTGCAGGAATTTCATCGGAGAAGTGCCCCCTCCCCCCTTTTTATTTTGCACATCTTCCAACCTACAAAGCATGTTTTTGCAGCAAGCATGGTGTTTTTGGTAGTGTAAAAGAGTAATCTACTAATACGAGGAAAAAAGCTTTAGTGTCTCACTAACCTACACCAAGCAACAATGGCCATCACGCAAACGCGAAGTTGTACTCCACTGACCAGTCAAAATCAAAGAAAGTGTGCAAGTCATAAAAATTACTACAGGCTGAAGCTTTATTTAGGGGATGTAGGGATTTCCTAACTTAGCAGCAATTCATGCTTTTCACAAATTTCGAACTCCGCAAGGTAGGGTCTCAAACTTAAATCAGCCAGCAGGCCGCAGTGACGCAATTTAATCCCATAGGAGCAGGGATACGGATGAAGGTAAAAGCGGGGAAGAAGGGGGATGTAGTAGTTTGTATAAATTGTCAGCAAACCTAACCATTCGAAAGAAAAGCTTTCCCATATTTCATAGATGGGTCATTTCTTACGGAGATTTGGGGCAAGGATCAATTCGTGAAAAGACTAAATTACGAAAGACGATTCTGAAGTACAGTTTTAATTTTTCAGTCATGTTTCGACACATAGTGACCATAAGAGGTGCCTCAGGAACACTATGTTTTAGACCAGCTATGTCTGGGTAGCTCACAAGCATACTTGATAATAAAAAAAGAAATTCGAGGCACTCATGTGCCGGATACGGCTCGCAAGCGCAAGATTTGTGGGCTGCGTACGTCTGTGCGCTTGAGATCCCCGCCATAGGGTATATAAAGAGGGAAAAATAGGAATGTGCACTTATATACAGCTCCCAACACATTGTCATTAAATAATAGCAGATTACTCTGAAATGGCATGTACAAGACATACAACAATAAGTGACAGCCACCCGATGCATATGAAAGTGTATGCTTCTACTGATGTTACCATAATTTAATAAAAACTGACAATTTAGAATTCAGATGCAATTAAATGACGACGAAAAATCACCTTACAAGGAGGACCACAAAATTAAATACGGTAGTGACTCTTTAAGTGACGGATTGTGGTGGTTGCTAAAATCTATGACAATCGCATGGGTAGGAATACTTGAAATGGACACAAAATTTATGTGGACAATTTAAATCTGCAATACAGATTGCCTAAGACGAGGCTTTGTTCTTCTTCGTATATATCTACTTAAGGATTTGATGGTTGGTGTCAATGGAAGCAACTTGGTTGCCTTGATCAAGTTATTGCGAATTAGATTATGCAAATTTCTACGGTTCCACCAGCAATGAAATTGGCTGAAGTGACTTGCCGCACGCTTCATTTGTACAGAATATAACAAAACACAGCGAGAGACTGGAGGACACTAGCCACAGCGGCCGTGGTACAAGCATATAGCGAAACTACCGTTCGGACTCCTGCGCAACATCGCCCCACACAAGATAAAGCAGCACGAATGTGATCACACAAAACAATGCAAGAACACTTACATTAACTGTACCCAACAATCGAAAACCCGCAAAACTAACCTTTCGTTCGAAGTTCATCCAGAGACGATGCGACGACACACTTTCTGGTTTGTCTGTCACAGCTCCACACTTTGTGCGGTTTACCTGCCAAATCCTGCAATTGAACGCAAACGGAGTGGGCCAGGTTAAATGCTTTTGCACCACATCTCAATCCTGGCAGTGATCAATCGTTAGAGATGCTGCGATTTTACCGCAGCAACGCTGAAATTTTGTCCAGGCGCTTTTGCTCACTGTACGTTACTATGCATCACGACTGCGGACACGAGGGTATGGTTCGTTTCATCAGCCGCCTCGGATCTCGCTGAAGCATCGCTAGTGCGCGCGTCACTCTAAACGAGAGCGCAGCTGCGATTCGAGGTGAACAAAGCCCGAAAATTCAAGACTATCGGCCGTTCTAACGCCGGTTGCATCGCGCATCAAAAGCAGAGGTGAGCTCCAGAGGGCAAACTAGGACAACTGGGATCGGGCGGCCCCAGCGTTCATCGACCACTTCGCGTGGCCCATCCCTACGTCCTGCGAGCTGGGTCAGTCGCGGGATAGGCACTAGAGGCTTTCCCAATTCCCCTATTTCGACAATAAAGTGCACGGACGAAGCCTAACGTGGTCCCGTTTGACATCTGTCGAGAGAGGTCTTATTTTGTGCTGCTTCCCCCTTGGCGCCTTCCCGTAGCCGCACTAGCGAGAAACCGGGTCAACTCACCTCTGTAGTCATTCTGGTCGACTAGCCGGTGGGCTAATTCCAGCCGCAAGGTTTGCCCGCCTCCCACTGATCCCTCGCCATTTCGCGGTGGATATTCCAGCCAAAAAGATTCACAGTAGCAGCAGCCCTTTGACTCCCACACCATCCGCCTCGCTTGGCTTGTTTGCTTTGACCTGCCGGGGCTGCACTGTTTTTGTTTCGTTTTTGGAGTTATTGTTTCAGCCTCTTTATTTTTTCACTGCTCCCTAAACCGCGGTGTCGTTGCCCTGTAAGCTCGAGGGAAGAGTGGATTTTTATTACGAAATTCCATCACGACTTCGATTAAGCGATTTTTCTCCAAATCGTAAAAAATCGCCGCTGTATCCGTCCGTGTAGGAGGCACGGCAGTCGCGGACCGATTCCCGCATGTGTGTTGCTTCTTTTCCTGGTTTTCGCTTCTTTATTATTATATTTTTTTCCCGTGGTGGTTGGTGTTTGTGATCGTAGTGCGGCGGTCGACAGCTTCGTGTGGCGTGGATTTTCGCAAAGTGTCTTGCGTGTGTTCGCCTGCTTCGCTTTCAAGATGTGTACTCAGTGATACGGGTGTAGGAAATCTGCCTCGCAGTCGCCAACGCACCGAGCGAGGACCGACGGTTCCCATTTGCTTCCAAGGTGCAGCAGGAGTATTTGATTCAACTGCTTTCGACCCCCGAGTTGAAATGGCAGATTCGGATCCGTCGATCGACACACCTCCAGCTGGCAACGGAGTTGTGAACAGCGGCATTCCATCATCTACAGTGAGAGCCATATTCACGTAGTGGCTGACCCGTCCCTTATTGCGTTCTCGCATGATTTGACTATGGCGCATCACGTCAGTGTTTCTGTCCCTTTTGCAGGACGCGTTGGAGGAAACGTGCCCTCGTGCCGACAACAAAAGTGAAGTCAGAACAACGGTTCCTCAAATACCGAGGGAGAACCTTGTGAGTGGCATTATCGCTCAATTGTTTGCATTTTACAGCGTGATCGACGACTACATGTCCTCACTCTGCTTTTTTTTTTTTTTTTCAATTTTCATTCCGCTTCTCGCAGGTCGCCACTGCCGTGAACTTCCTTGAGAACCCGCGCGTTCAAGGCAGTCCGCTTTCGCAGAAACGAGCCTTCTTGCTCAAAAAAGGTGCGCGCTGATTTGATAACCTCTTTGAGAACACTCGCATCGGAGTGCTTGATACTAAATGCTATCGATTGCTGTGGACCTTTTTTTTTACGGAGCCGCGTGCATTACACAAGTATCGCAGTGCTTTAGCATTTGTCTATCTCAAAAATACATTGAACAAAAACAATATCAGTCTTTGGTTGATCTTGGTGTTATGATTACACGTGTAGGTGTTCACCGTCTTCCTTCACTAATTCAATTTTTAATCAGAAAAACACAACAATATCTTGCACGTTGGGTGCGTATTATCATGAGACTGTGTTTCAAATATATATTATATGCATACGTTTAAGCCTATCCAGACAGAACATTTAATAAAAAAATGCTCCATTCCTAGCTGGATTACCGCGTCAGACATGAAAGACTTATGCTTGGATAATTCAGCTCAAATTGAATGAATATTCAGCTAAAACTTTGTCAGTTCCTGGCTGAACTATGGCCATATTTCAGCTAGATGTTCATCAACTTCAAGCTCAATTATAATGCCATGCAACTTAAATATAGAACCATAAATGTTTGAAACTGGTAAGGTTCAACAATCCAGCTGGCAAAGCAACTTTTTTTTTTCATTCAAGTGTTTTTTGATGCGTTGGGCATGCAGGTTTGACTGCCGAGGAAATCGATGAGGCCATAGAAAGAGCAAGGATTGGGAAAACAGATACTGTAGCCCAGCATGGACTGGTGCCCTACCCTACATTGCCACCCCAGCTACCACCGCCTCCCCCGCCTCATTTGTTACAGCCAGGTGATGCATTGTTTACCTGTTTTCCTTTGCTGCATACGACACAACTGCGCACTGTAGGTAAAGGTGTGGAAGCTGGTTGTGCGGGTGCTGAGCAACACAATGTTCTGAAATTAGCTCGGACTCGTTCAGCTGTCTGCAACGTTACTGCCTGCTGTAGTGGCATAGTGGGCGAATAGCATTGGAGCAAGTGCTCGAATGTCATGATGTCCAGCAGCAGCTATACAACAATATTCTGAATCGTAATGTCACAATACATAGAACTTTTGGAAATTGAAATTTGCGCTGCTTGGTGGAGAAGCTTGTATAGCAGTAATATATTCGTAACGACCCAAGTTTGCTAGTACTTCACGTAAGGCTATGGGCTCGTCTGTGATCTTCACACTGCTAACACATTTCTACCAAAGTGCTGCTCATAGCAGCAGCTAATGGACAGAAAATTTTGTAGAGGGGATACTTGGCATGCACTTGTGCAGACTATAAACTTTTGCTCCCCGTTCTTCTAGCCTAGTAGCTAAGGTGTACAGCTGCTGATCTCAAGGATGCAGGTTTAATTTCAGATCATGATGGCCGCAGTTTTGTGTTACAATAAGGAGCTGACAACCTCACATATCACAGCTGAAAACCTCGTTTGCTCGTGTGCACGAAGGTTAGTCGTACCGAGTCATTTTTGTGGCACCCCATCGCAGTCTGTTTCACGAGAGCACCGAGAGGGGCAGGACCCACAGTGGTTTGGTGGCATGACTTGGCACATATGTGTGTGACTTGATATATGAGGGTGATGCCATGCCCTTATCTGGATACATTTCCCTACCTTCTCAGCGAGAAGTTCAATGTGTTAGTACCCTTACACTTTACATACATACCTGGAGTGATTATTGATGCTTCTGATTTCAGAATACTCAATCTGGTCCCACCTGAGCCACGTATCTTCTTCAATCGTGATAATCGGGGTTGCCTCCTATGGCGCTTACTACGTGTACAAGGTAACTAACTATCTTTTAAATGTTTTTTGTCTCAATTCTGAGCTTGTGCTCCGACGCTGGCTATGTGAATTGTGTACCTATGTTCTTGAAGCTGGTATTATATTTACATTACTTGCATTGTTTTATATTGCATTAGCACCTCCTATGCTTCACTTTTTATGTAAGACAGGCTGTCATATTTCTTTTTACAAGCAATACAGTTGTATACATTTTGTTCAGTAACTTATCACTGTGTTCAACATGCAACTACATTTAGCTCACTGCTTGACATTGCTGTAATCTTACGGTACTGCAATTTCAATACCAAAAGCAGCTATTCGCTGTCAAAGGTTCCCCCCTCCAGCCTAAGGCGTCGCCGTGTCATCATGACGTCACAGCCGACTGCTTTGCGTGTACAGACAGCACTTGGACCCAAGCTTCTATGAGTGCGTTCATGCTGCGAGGTAGTTCCTCTGCAAGCCTTCATTTTGAGCTAATTTGAAACTTTAGTTTAATTTTGTATATCACCATTGAAATACATCATGTGAAAGAGTTTACGAGAGATTCCCATAACTTTTTTGGGTGCAATAAGTAGGAACCACTCTTTAAAGTCGTGCTCTGTGCACAACCATAATATTGAAAACTTAGTGGAGTAATCAATGAGAAATAAACAAGCAGTTATCGCCATCTGTCGCACTTATTGATCCGACAACAGTTGGTGAAGCAACAGATACCATAGATGCAGGAGGGACGAAATGGCAGAACATGTGGAAGACGTGCGCATGTTCATGCACAAGACCAAACACCCACAGAGGATGACGATGGCTGCTTTGTATCACTCATGGTATTGGAGCACCGATTAGTGACGCAAATATCTGCGACTGTTTCCAGGCGCCTCTGAGCACTTGTGCAGAAAACGAAACGCTATGGGGCAGTCGTCATTACTGAACACTGCACACAACACACAAACAAGACTGTTGGTGGAATTCAAATGAGGATGAACAGCGCTAAAGTCAGCTTGTGCTGATGGATTGTTGCCAACAGCGAAGGCGGCCATTTTGGTTGAAGTCCTTTACTGCAGAAGGACAGGCTTTTTAATTGATCTTGTAATCGTGGTGTGAAGGTGGTCGGCTGCAATGTCACAATGGCACGGAAATGCCATTAGCTGGAGGGGAGTCCTCTGACGGGGAAAAGTCGCTTCTTTATTAACTTGTACCCCAGTATAGTAATAGTACATACGTTTTGGCTATTATGTATAACAGTACCTTATCACTACCATAATGCTTTCATCACATTATTCATATGTCAAATAAAATGTGGAGTTGACGTAGAAAGCATTGTCTTTCCTGCTACAGAGGTATATAGAGCCATACCTGAGAGGCTGGGATGGTCCAAGATCCAAACCGGACCGGCTTTCTCAAGTCCAGGAACAAATCAGTGCCCTCACGGAAGCCATCCAGCAACTGAGGGAGGCAGTTGCATCTCTCGAGTCGGCGGTTGCTGAAGACAGGAGGCTCCGTAAGCCAGCTGTAAGTTGAACTTGAATGAAATTTCATTTCGTTAAACCAGCTTCAAGCAGCGCAGACACAATAGCTTTTTGTATCAGACTTGCCGGGGCTACAGCTTTCTCTTCGTTTCCTGAATTCTGTGGTACCTGCTCTAGCGAAAAAATAATTGTAAAGGAAGGTCGGCAATCATGTGTGATGCTGACTTAGAGAAAGCTATAAATGCGTTGTCAGCAGTACTTGTCCTAATCGCAGTATGTGGGGAGATTTGGGTATGCATAAGGCACAGTCCACACTCACTGACGACATTTTTGTCCTCTTGTGCATTATAGAACATCACTAATGCATACGTGGCAGGATCATGTTTTAACTAGTACGCTGAATGATAAGATACACTGACAGCCAACTATAAATTAGCATTTTCTTTACATCCACTGGCAGCACATCTAGACTTGTAAAAGCGGTTACAAACTCGCTGCGCATTAAGACGCTGCCCCGAAATTGTCTCAGGAGGCCCTGGACTCTGCGAAACAGGATCGTACCATCTCGGAGCTCAAATCTGAGGTCTCGTCAGTCAAGGCTTTGCTGCTGAGCAGGTGGGTGCCGAAGGCAGCAGGCGTGCATTGAGGGGCTTACTGGCTGCTGTTTGACCTAGCTTTGGCTCGTCAGGGCTTTGCGCTGCAATTTGCTGCTAGTGGAAGCTTGCCTGCATTCGAGCGAGTCTTTCAATTGAAATCCTGTGTGGAGTTCTGTGAATTGTCATGTGACATTGTTGCTTGTGATTTCACATGACCTGTTGCATGCTGGAATGAGAGTGGCGCAACTCCTGAACACCTGTGGAACCTGCTAACTCTGACGTTCCTACATCTATCTGCCCTAAGAGAAATGCGGGTGTGCTGCAGATGAGACAAACTTGTCTTTGGGCAAAGGCCTAGAGTAAGCTCCGGTGCAGCATTGGTTGGCCTGCTATGCTTGCTCTGGGAACATAAGGATAATGAAGGGCGGTGTTTTTGGACACAACGTCACGTTGTGATGAACAAGGCACCTGCTATGAATCTTGATTCACACTCCGACTCGGTGTCAAATTTTGAAAAGGAACTTGACATATTCCATTATACCTGTGAATCAAATGTCTTTCAGCTACGGCCTGTGCCACAGTGAGAGTGAAAGACAACTTATCTGGGGAAAAGCAGGGTAGTATACCTGATGGTTAAGTCTTCTGGCTTGCTACTATGCGGAGAAGGGGAGGAACAAGAGGAAAGGAAAGGGTTGATGATGAAAACAGGCAACATTGTGTGTGTTCATCTTCAGAGGCCTCCATGGCAGAAAGGCAGTGTGCTTGTTTTGGTTTCATGTTTATTACTGTGGAAGCAGCTAGGTTGTTCATAAAAGGTTTCGGCCTTCTCTCTGCAACTGCCCATTGACAAGTCTGCTGTGGCCAAATGCAAAAAGAAATTATTAGTGCGACAACTGTAAGAGCAATGTGACCTCGCCCTCGATGCTATGTGTAACCTCCTTATAATGCAACAACTGCGAGCCTTCTTTGAAAATTTTGCTTCGAGCGTATGGAAATTGAAGTAGAGAAACCTGGGCATGTTTTTCAGAGCTGCAAGACACACGGCTCATCGCTAATATGGCTTAGCTAGAAATGCATAGGACATATTTCCAGCTTGGCACATAGGTGCAAAAAACATTTCTATTCTTGGCACCTATGTGAGAGCATGGACAGATAGCGTTTGGAGAAAAGCTTAAAGGACTGTGAAGGAGAAGTAACAAACTTCTCGTGGCAGGGATATGGAACTCCCAACAAAGATCATTGATAGCACCCGTTGTAGCCGTCTCGTTTCTTAATGCTTTGCATTGCTTACTTCCAGTCACGTCACTGTGTTCTAGGTAATGTAAGCGTGCAACTGCACGTTTGCTTGTTGCGGGGAACTGTGGTGATGGGGCAGATACCTTTATTGTGAGCCAATGATGCTTTTGCTTCACAGGCTTGTGATTGCCCTGGTTACCTAGTGTGCTGTTCGTGTCTCATGGTACTCGAATTCTCCTAGACCTTTTATATATGAATGTGCCCTTGGCATTTCGTGGACGTTGTGTAACTTGATGCTGGAGCTTTTGTATTGTACAGATAAAAGGCTGAGACAGCAAATATAAATGTCAGGTTAGGCTAGAGTGGTAGATTACTCTACCAGAATTACAGGTAGGTTGCTGTTATGGAGGCAAACCAATAATTAAAACGTGAATATGAAAGGACCATTGGTGAAGCCTTGATTCTTGTGTGGCGGCTCCTCATAGGATCAGACTTTAGGCAGAATCTTGTCAAGCTTCGTTATTTTCAATTGTCGGCATAACACTGACATAATGAGTATCATATAACCTATAGTAAAACCAATGAAAAATTGTCGTCATACATAAAATGCTAGAAATATGTGTGTCTAAACAAATTTTTAGATTTAATGTGTGGAGATAGGTTTGCTAGTGGCTTACCCTGTGAGCTTGACCGGGTACCTGTACGTGTGAGACTGGGAAGGATGTCTCGTTCTCCTCCACAGTAGTGCATGAAGATGCTGTGGCCAGATCTGTCAACTTTTCGATGCAGTGCAGAAAAGGCGCTTGAGGCAGATCATATCCAAACAGGGGCTTATTAGCCCAAGATACAACACAGTGCGGCAATCACGGCCTTGCAGTTCGACAAGCAAACTCCACAAGACCGATTGAGTGCATGTTCACCGGCGGTGCCAAGACTATTACACGAAAAGTAGCATTCAAGTGCACGAATGAGAAGCCCCTGCTAGAGCAGCATGTCAACCTCTCGTGCAGGCCTGTGAGCATCTCACATGGTGAGCCAGCACCAGACAGAAGACAGCTCATGTGAGAGGGAGTTGTCACTGGCGGCCAGAAAGGATAGGCCAAGCGCAGTGATGTGCGCTAGCAGCACATGTGGCGAGCATTATCCGCACATATTCAGACACATTTCCCCGCGCAGTGAACATCATCGCATGGCTTCTTGCACCAGGCAAAAAAGGCCTGGTGGCGTAGCCATGTCACCGATCACAGAGGTGTGCTCGATCCACGCAGGGCCAGCACAAGCGCTAGCTGGGAAACATGGTGCCAACAGGGAAGACGCGCTCGATTTGCACAAAATGAAGTTGGTTCTGGAGCTATATAAAACTTCATGATCAAATGTTTTCAGTGCAGTGGTTGATGCGGGAGGTGCTCATTGCTTTTAAATATGAAAGGTGCCTCACCTGGCGACCTTTCATCACCGTCCTTTCACAGAAATGACCCAAAAACATGCAGATGATGTGCATTGTGCTACAACATTCTTATGTTACAATTGTATTAATTTAAACTTGTGCGAGGGAATCATGAGTGTCAGGATCAACATTTTCTAACCAGGGAAATGGACACATGAATGTTTTGAGAGAACGTGCTTCCTAATCGTGAGTGACCTGATGCATCTAGTATTTTTAGGTATGTACTGCCTACTTGAGTATTGCTTCGGGGAACGTCTCTTGAAGAGGCTTTTCTGGTTCTTTTGTCCCCTTCCGTCACGTCCAATTTGCAGGAATCAATTCCTGAGAGCGCCAAAACTGACTCCCTCTGCGCCTAGCATTCCCACCTGGCAACTCTCCAGCAACAGTGCTGAGAAGGCAGAAGAAAATGGTACTGTTTTTGAGGTGAGTGACAGCGTGGCAACAAAAGACAGAAAGGGGAAGGTGGAAGCTTGCGATGAGAAATTTGTAAACAGGTGGTGTGTGTTGGAGCTGACATTTCGACAAGTGGACATGTCTTTTTCAAGGCCTGAAAAAGAAGAGTTCACTTGTTGAAGTGCTGGCTCCAGCACATATTCCCTGTTTACGAATTTCTCAATGTATGGCGACTGGGTATCAGTTGTAGCCAATGCTAGTCACCTGGTTGGTGCCACAAGTTCAGGTGCATTCTCGTAGTTGCTTTAATTCTTTGCTCATATTTTTTCTCGATAATTTGTGCTTTATGTCGTATGCACACTTGAAGTGTGTGTGTTTATACGACTCGCAATACTCTGACAATGTAATGTGAGAACGTAACAGGACATGACGTACGTCAGGACAGCAGTTTCGAAGATGCGTTAAAGAAAATAGACAACACAAGGCGTTTGTTTCGTTCTGCTCCCTGCCATATTTGCGACAGCGAATCTTTGCTGCTATAGAGTGATATGCGTTTCACAATCACCACTGAATGTGCACCATCCTTGTTAATTTAGCTCATAAGCAAATGTGTACTGCAGTTTGTGTGATTGTCAAAATTGCACACACTACTTTGGTAGTTGTGTAACAGAACTTTTGCTATAGGTAACAGTGCTGTTGTGCTCTTCAGGCAAACTGACTTTTATGTCTCCTGCTTTAAAAGCCTTACATTGTTTGAGGTCTTTGTGTTATTACATTGTGCAGGAGATCCCTCAGTCATCTACATTAGGTCCACCTCCTGTGTATCATTACATTGTAACATATTTTTGCACTGACAAACTTTATTCGAATTCTGAATGTGTAGTGTGCAGCTTCGGATGGTGAAAAGATGTTTCTCTAGTTTTCTACGGTTTTTATACCAAATTGCTAACACATGCGAGAATTCGACATTAGGTTTTCAATGAGATCTTAACACCACATGTGTGTCCTCTGGAATGGTGAGCTGATGCTACTCATGGTGTACAATTAAGGTGTGGGAGTATTTTTATCTAAAATATAATTTGCCTGTCTTATCATTTGTCTTACGCAATGAACTGTTGACCTCTCTCATTTTACAGTCCAGTGAACCGGAAGAGAGCGAGGAGCAAAGTTCAAAAAGTGCAGAGGAACCCATGGAATCAAGAAAAGAAGAGTTGCTCCACAATAGGCCAACAGGCTTGGCTTGATGATAATGTTTTAACACTATACAATGGAAGTATGTGCATCTGGCTATGCATTCCAATACAGAAATCGTTTATTGACGAGTTTCAATCAATATACACCATACAGGTTGATTGGACGCTGAGATGTGCACCGTGTCTTGGCAATGAATAAAACTGGCAGCACGTTTTGACATTTGTAGTTGCTGTTCTTTGTCACGCGTGGTGACGAGTCACGATTCGTTTGCAAGGTATATTGAAGGAAGAGCGTTGTGAGCCACCTCTGCCGCTGGTGGTATCTGTGGCTTCAGTCAGGTTTGATTCCAGCTATAACCACAACTTTTTATTGTTGGCATTTATCGGGATTTTTCGCTCAAGAACATGCCACTTCCAATTCACTACGGAGGCCGGCAACTCTGACACTGCATTTTCTACAGCACGGGCTCTTTAATGCCATAATCTGCCATATTCCAAAGGGGAGGGATCACGTCATTTTCACACTATGAGTTCCTCCCCTCTGCAGTTTTTTTTTTATCCTTTTCTATTTTTCTTTGCGGTGCACTTCCGGTGGCAGCATTGAGACTTCTGCACTGGATGACTAACCAGAGCAATGTAATGAACTACATTGCGTTCCAATGGAACCAAAGTTTGAGCATAGCTAGCTAGTTCTTGGAACATATTTAGTGAATTCGGCTTGAATACACAAAAATATTTTGAAATTAGTGGTGTTGCCCTTGAGTAATGGTGTAAACTTTAAGGGAAATTTTTAAGGAGTTAAATATTAATCTTTGGTTCTGTCTTGCAAAAATTAGTTTATAGTGAAATGAATAGCAGTACATATTTAGATGACAATTTATGAGGCCAAGCTAAGTGTTCCCCTTCGGTTTGGATAGTTTGCATAGCTATTCCTCAAGACGCTTGTGGAAAATTTTTTCTGAAGTTAATTGAAGCATAAAACCTTGCCTGTTACACTTGAGGGTGCTGTATCTGCAGTGTAGCACATTGCAGCCTGTTGACAGCCACGTATACTTATGAAGAAATTTAAGACAGGTAGTAAATAAACACAAATTGATATCTTCATTATGTGAAGTTGTAATGGAAATATATCTCTTGTTGAGGAAGCATATCAGTAATGCTACATGGCACATATATTGCTTGGTGCACATTAATAAAACTGTCTCATGTTGAAAAAGCGCGACACTGTATGAGCTTTCATAATGTCTTCATTTCTCATTAATTAACACAAGTTAACTATATATTTGCAAAGAAGATCATAAACTAGAGTTCATTGCGCTGTTTTCAATAAATGTGCTGCGCCAAATTTTTGCTGCACTGGCACCTCTGCAACCGAACAGGATGTAGACTAGACACTGTTAAATTGTTCTCGTGGAGCAACTTCCAGCACTGGAGTGAGGTGTGGATGCCTATCGTAAATGGCGTAGTAGCACCTTGGAACTCAGTTGCCATCAAAATAGCCACCAACGCGGTAGTTGACCGCTGCATAGACGAAGTGGCCTTCACCGATGAAGATGGCGGCAGCGTTGGTGATGTTGTCCTGTAGCGGGAACATGCGGTGGCCCCTGCTCCGTAGTTCCCGCACGGTCTCCTGCAAAGGTTGAAAGTTACAACTGTCGTAGATTAATTTGTTCAAATATGAAGTAGGTAAGAGACGACTGCTGCATGCTTTTGAAAGGATACCCGAAATGAAATGTTCGCCAAGATTGGCAGATGATGTTGGCTAGGATGAATGTCCAGTTGTCATATGTGTTAGCAGAGTTTTATGCTGTCCTGAACCCCTTATAGTTTGATGCATTGTGACCCCCTCTAGGGACGTGTTGTCGACTCTTGAAAGCTGGACATCCCTGGTGCGTACCAGGAGCTGCTTTCCAAGTGCAAACAGTCATCCGAGTTTTCACATGCTTCATTAAAGATGCTCCCTTTCGTACAATCGCAAGTTTACACCATTAGTGGTGTTCTGCTGTCCTAATCCGGGCATACCTGTTTGTCCCCTTCCACCAATAGTTATCTGTTTCGCTGGCGTTTCTCTAAATCTGCGCCCGCCACTGTCCTGTTAAAAATTTTACGTCACGCTGATAACATGCGTTCGTGGTGTAGATTGGCCGCATGCGAAGTGTTAATAAAAAGCTCGCACGCAGCATGTCTATTGCGTTTGGACAAGGTCAAGAAGGCAGAAACTCTTTAAGTAGTACTTTTACTGCTGCGGAGTACTTACAGCATACGAGAAAGAGCTCTGATTTCACTTCGATACGATTCGCACTCTTTTGTGAGTTCATTGCCCTACAACAGTAAAACTCGTCTCTGGCTGGCTTGCGCTTTGTTTTCTTCTATTTTTTTGAAAACTCGATGCTCGTTGTTTACGTCACGATCGTTGAGTGAACGTTATCAGTGAATTGAAAGTGGCGGCGCGTGGCGTCAAAGGCAGAAGACTATTATTGTCGTGCTATTGAAAGTCGCCGTGTACTAGATATTTAACAAGGGTGCTTTTCGTCGGCCTGTCTAAAGTTTGCACCTTTGGAGGTGTATATTATGTGAAATCTAATTTTACACCTATAGCGGTATTAATATTCTTGAGGGATGCAGTATAACTCGGGCTTTTTATGTATATAAAGAGTAACCAGAGTTGTTCGAGCATTTATTACTACTAAACATTACCGCTTAAATATTCGATTAATATTCTTGGGTTCTAGCTCACCCATGGTAGGTCGGTGTCATAGAGAACGCCCTTGATGCTGGCACGATAACGTACTTTGGTAGCGCTGACCGCGTCCGCCATTGTCTTGTTCATCAGCAGAAGCTGGCAAAGCACCTAAGCCATAGACGAAACAATAAAAAATAGAAATTGTCTTTTTGCAGGTCATTCATACGCTAGAACTTGCACAACGGGTGCTGTCTACGTACCCCTAGTCTCAATTTTCACACAAGGCTAGTATACTGTACGTAAGCACTATAAACAACACGTCTAGCATTAAAATGGAATAACAGTTTCCGGGCTGGAGGAATCTTGCCCGAGAGGAGTAAAACTGGATTTGTTTCCTCGTCGTTGGACTTTTGATGTGGCTTTCCTGCATTGTGATGCTTAATTCAGTGAAGACACAGGCTTTCATGGCGGCCGCTAACGCCGTCGTTGTGGCAGCTTCCCGTCGGACAGCCACACAGGCGTTACATATACCGTATACATAGAGCGTTCGTAGCGCGCATGTGGTTTAAATGTAGATCGTACCCTGTACGTCCGTCCGTCTCTGCATCTATCTGTCCGTCCTTTATACAAGTCGGCGACTTTAACGTAGACGCAGGACCTAACATCGCTCCATCATCGGCATTCACCTGGTAAATCGTCTGCCATTTTTTTTTTCGGTGAATTTCTGTTGGCTGACCTGTAAAACTGATGACACAGGTTTTCCGAAAAAACCCACTGCAGCGGAAAAAAAAAAGCGGGACGTGCTCACCCACAAACCTTCACCCTTACCTGGCACGCACTAAAAAAATCAAGTGAAACGAAATATATTCTCTTTCCGGACTTGTGTTCGAACCAGGTCCGACAGCAAGTGCCTTGAACACTAGACCGCACGTCATTGCTTGCCCGATGTGAACTGCACTCAAGCATTCGAATGCTTGAGTGCAGTTCACATCGAATGCGTTCCACCAACGATACAAAAAATACAATGGAACGCACTTGCTATGGGTGCTTCATTGGAGTATTTTGTGTTGGCTAGCGATTAGCTGGACTTTGCGTAAACTAGATGTCAGGAATTACACATTTCATAAAAATTCTGATGTCAGAAACCTTGAATTCCTATCTCGCGTTTCCGTGATCTCGTTATTATAAGAGTGCGCACGGGTTTGGTGGGGGGGGGGGGGGGGCACACTTTTCAGTCACCCAAGGGGTGGAGCAAAGGCAGCCCTGCACACGGACATAATTGAAAGAGGGGGTGCTGCGAGTCCGGGGAGGGAGGCGCAGTCAGCCGCATACATTCACATAATACGAGAGGAAGGCACTGCGACTAATCTTCACTCCCCCACCCCCACTGAAGAGGCACCTGCGCTCGCTGTTGATCGTCATGGCCCTTGCATTTGGGCGCCGTTCTATAGGCTGACGAACGCCAGAAAGAACATAAATGACGCCGATTCAGCACGAAAACAGCATTCCTGGTACGGCTGCTGCCTACAATAGGCCCGTGTACATGGACGCGAAGGGGGCGGGCTGAGTTGAGTGGCGGGTTCAGCTTACCTCGACGCGCCCGAGTTTATATGAGCTCGCACGGACGAGTTGAGGTAAGCGGTGATCGCAGCGACGCTTTGCGTCGAGGCGAGCCGAAAGCCCGTCTTCCGGTACCGGTTTCCGCTCCTCCAAGCCTGCGCTCTCGCCGCTGTGGGCTGCGGTTGTTTACGCAGTTGTCGCTCCGCCACCGCGATGGCTATCTCAGCTCCCGTCTTGGTATTTTCTCTCAGCTTGCACCAGCTGTACTTTATGGTTGTGTTGGTGTCTTGGCTAACACTGCACAACGCGATGGTAGCAGTGGTTCTGTTGCGGCACAGCGCTCGCCGCAGGCGTATCCGCAGCCTGACGCACCGTTCCCTGTTCACCCCTGGCTGGTCTCTCCAGGAATTCGCCGTGATTCATGGTTTGTAACGCCTTTCATTTGTGTACCTGATGCTGTGGAAAATCCTTTGAAGCCCTACACGCGAGTCATTTTTTGCCATAGTTGTGGCTTGTCGCTAATGCGAATTAAGCGGCGCCCTGAACCTCGTTGAAAATTTTAAATTGAAAACAATAACAAGGTTCCTTTTGGCGTTGCATAAGTGGTTGCCAGACTGGAAGGGTGGTTGTTGCCAGATTGCCGCTAATTTTGGCTGAAAAGTTTTTTTCTGTAGTTGTGGCTTCTCCGTAAGAGTTTGGTGCTATCCGCGGTGCATTTCTTGGCTGAAAATTTTTGGAAGCGTAGCGTCCTTCGTCGTAGCGCGGTCGACGTGACACGATCAGCTGAGAGAAAAAAAAAAAGAAAAGTAAGGGGGGAGGGGGGCAGCGCATCACCTCCTGCGACTCTATTCAGCTTTCCCCGTCATCCCTAATACTGAGACGCGATATCTTAATCGCACAGCTGCGCACACAGAAAGAGAACGCGCCTCGACTTCTGTAATGGGCGGTTCATTCTGTTAATTAAAACGGCCTCTTAATTGCGCAGCAGCGCCGCGCTCGACTTCTGCTAGGCGCGGTTTATTCCGTTAATAAAACGAATTCTGTAATGCGTGGTTCATTCCGTTAATTAAAACGGAATTTAAACGGCCTCTTAATTGTACGGCAGCACCACGCTCGACTTCTGCTAGGCTCGGTGCATTCCGTTAATAAAAACGGCCAGCGTCGCTCATGCACTAGCGAAATGCACCGCGGATAGCACCAAACTCTTACGGAGAAGCCACAACTACAAAAAAAACTTTTCCGCCAAATTTAACTGCAGTCTGGCAACAACCCCAAAGTCTGGCAACAAACTTATGCAACACCAAAAGGAACCTTGCCAAAACAATAAGCAGTTTTTAAATGAAAATGACTAAAGACCCTCATCGATTGTTGGAACAAAGTGTACAGTTCCACCACAATTAAGTGCACCGTGTTCCTCTTGCCTCATACGCTCACCCTGTTTGGCTAATCTGATTTCTGTGGCTTTTGGACTGGACAGTGAGATCCTTACACGATGAATTTTTAATCTGAGGGCTTGTAATTTCAATCGGAATGCAATATACATTTTTGAGTAATATTTCTATCGGCTTACATAAAAATTCATACGGCCGCATACCATTTTGCCGTAATTTTATACCTCTATTTCTATTGTGCCTCGTTTATGCATAAAAATGAAAGTAATTTGCTATTTTTTTATATTTCCTTGCAGGATTGGAGTGTACAGCACCACCGACCAAGCGGGCCGTGTGGATGCGAGAACGGTGCCAAGATTGGTGGGACCGAATGGTGGCTACCAACTTCAATGACAATGACTGGCGGGAGAATTTTAGAATGTCGAGGCACAACTTCTGCCACCTTGTTGCTGCCGTGGCACCATTCATGTCTCCTTGTGAAAACTACGTGCGGACCCCTGTTCCTCTCGACAAGAGGGTGGCTATGGCTCTCTACAAATTAGCAAGTTGTGACGAATATGGCATTGTGGCCAACCAATTCGGCGTGCACAAATCAACAGTAAAGAAGTTTTTTTATATGTTTTGCCAATCGGTGACAACACACTTGGCAAAGGAATATGTGAAGTTGCCGTCAGCAAATGAAGCAAAAAAAATTGCTGAACGGTTTGAGGCAAAGTGCCACCTACCTCAAATTTTTGGAGCGATTGACAGTACTCACATACCAATCGCCGCACCAAAGACCGGCTACCGAGACTTCGTGAACCGGAAGCACTGGGCGTCATACAATGTGCAAGCAGTTGTGGACGACGGAGGACTGTGAGTGCATGTTCATTCTAAAATGCATGGGTACACGCGCGGGGGCTAGCACATCACTACGTGAGGCACAAAACATATTCTCTTCTGGAATAATTCTAGGCTACATTAACTGTGCTCGGTAACTTCTCTGGTCTGTTTGGGGGGGGGGGGGGGGGGGTGAAAAGTTCGAGCCCAGTTTCTGTTATTGGCCATGTTTTGCACTAAATTGATCCTTATTTCATATGTGCTTTGCTACTGCCTGTTCAAAGGTTTTTTTTACTTGCAGCAGCAGCTACGAGTACCCCACTTTGTATTGTCTCACGTTAGAATTTTCGCTGTGCAGGTTTATGAACGTGTCATGCCGAGCCCCGGGCAGCGCTCATGATTCCACAGCCTTGAAGATGTCAGCGCTGTACAAGCGCAGCGACAACTTGGTGCCGCATGGGTTCAGCATGCTCCGAGGCACAGCCATCCCTTTCATGCTGGTTGGAGACCCGGCCTACCCTCTTCTGCCATGGATAATGAAGGGATACACAGGTAGACTCTCAAGAGAAGAAGAATCCTTTAATGTTTATTTAAGCAGCGCACAGAATGTTGTGGAACAGGCATTCGGTAGGCTGAAAGGACGCTGGCGCATCCTGCTGAAGCGTGCTGACATATATTACAAGTTTATGCCAACTGTTGTTATAGCAACGTGCGCGCTTCACAACTTCTGCGAAACACATTCAGAAGGCTACGACGCTTCGTGGGATCAGGCTGTCACGGAAAGTGAATCGGTGCTCTTCCCACAACCCTCAAGCAGACCTCGCAGCGGGGTGCGGTCAGAAATCAGGGACCTTCTCAAAGACCACCTTGCTGCTAATTTTCCACTTCGCAGAAGCACACTGGTATGATTTCTGCTCTAAGAATTGTTTATGCAATGAGACGTAGGTAAAAGTTCTCACCACAGTTCCATTAAAATGCCCTGTTTTCAACTGAGTTCAACATTTTATTCATCCATCTAAAATTCAGTGTTGCGAACAAAGTTTTTTGTTCAGCATTTACAAAATATATTCATTTCAAGACCAAGTCTTCGTGTGTACGCTAATTGGAACACCTGAGCTACTTAACAACCAAAAACGTGCAACAGATGTAAACAAATCGGGCACCGAAACGTACCATTGTCGTGATATGTAGTTAGCTTTATGAAGTAACTATGCTCAGGCATGTTCATTGCCAATCTCTTGGTATAGCTTGATTGCACTTTCTAGATCAACTGTCTGTTATCATTCATTGAGACGACTCCATTCATAAAGGGAAGTCAAACTTGTTCGTGAACTGGAGAGACTATGACGATACAGTACCAGTGCTCGCAAAGCTATGTAAGAAGCCAGTTTAGGTTTGTGAGAAATGGCACTTTGACTGCTCAAGTGCAGGGTATTGGTCGCTGGGGATTTTCGTTAAGCTTCGTCCATCACTGTCCCAGAATTTTTTTTCCATGAAAAATGTCTGTGCCTCAGCAATGGCTGTACTCACAAAGGCAACATGGCAGCTGTAGACAAGCAATTTGTTTGTTTCAGCACTGTTATAGTGTCAACTGTTTAAAGTGGATAATGCCTGCATACAGCTGGTGTATGCTTGTTTCGAGCTACATGGTTTTTTTATTACTTTATATCGCCAATACCCTTACTTTTAACATTTATGAAGTTTTTTGCTATGTAAATGTACTTTCATTGTAGCCATCCTTTCCTTTGTGAATTTTAAACCGCAGTCCCTGAGTGTGTCTGTATTTATTGCTCAAACTTGTAATGTCATTTTTTTCCCCTGTGGTGCTGTATATTCCCTGGTCCCTTCTGTTGTTAGCACTAAAAGTTGACGCTTTTTTTCTTTTCCAATGTTGTCTTCCAGTGTGTCAAAGTTGTGATTTCAATTTTGTATGCAAATAAAAAATTTCAAATAGAGTTTCGTCTGAATGGTGCAATAAATTTATGCTTTCGGCTATTTCAAGCAAAAAAAAAAAACTTTGAAGCAATTTTTGCCTTCTACGGTTGAGGCTCTATTTTGTGAAACGTTATTTGAATTTCTCAATTTAAGTTTTTTTTGGCTCTCCCCCGCTGTTGCCTTTAGGCTTATATAAAGGTTTCTTGATTTTGGGAAGCTTCTGATTTAAATAATTTAATTCATGGGTCCCGGGTGACTTTTCAATCGCGGTTTTACGGTAGTCGTGTCCCACTGCCGTTGTGTGTATGCATCGTACTTGTGTTAAGCAGTAGAAACCAAGTGGAATTCCAGACAACGGAATGGGTGTGATGTGACCATCTTCCACTCAGGTCCTAGAATTTCCTAAGATGCAGAGCATTAGTCTCTCACTACTGTGCCTTGTTTGTTATCCAAAGAGGCAGCGAGGCGTGACATTGCACTGTGGCATATCTGAAAAATCAGAAGAAAGGGCAAACGCGTAAGCCTGGAGGTGAAATACTGGGCTGAACTCGGTGGCAGTAGGCGACAAATGGGTAGATGTTTAGGGGTTTTTATTTTGTTAACCACACACAACTGCACACATACATTGCACACACAAAGAAAAGTTGGTCTATTGCTTCGGAGCGTGACTGTGTTCTGGCAGGTCGGACATGAACGGTGGCATTTGGGCAGGAGGAAGGGTGTGCATGCCTTGAAGACCGCTTAGAAGGTTGGCCTGATGGGCAAGAAACTGTCCCATAAGGGCTTGTGTTCCCTGCAAGAAGGAGTTTGTGACTCCTGCCAGGAGCTCCTTCATATTTTCATGCTCTCTTTGGAGAAGCTGATTTTCCATTTCAAAGCGAATGGTATTTTGCTTCTCTTGCTGCTCAATGTTCTTTTCATACATCTTATCCAACACCTTTTCAAACGTGGTTGTCTTGCGGCGCTTCGGGGGGGGTGTTGCATCAGGGGTCAGGTTTCCACGTTGTGTTCCTGATGTGCTTGGTTCTCCTTGCGATGGCGTAGATGTTGCAGCTGAAAATAGAATTCCCATGAGAGAGCCTTTTTCACGTTTATCACAGCCTCTTTAGCTTTTTTTCTTCTTCAGTCTTGTGTAGTTTTGTCTCATCCATTTCAGAGGGGGATGTAATTGACCTTGATGTTTTATGTATGCTCCTTTTTATGACATGTGTAGGAATACGTGGTCTGTCTGCATGTTGGCTATAAGGCGAGTATGTGAAAAAGGCTTAACCTCTTCAATTTGCAAGTGCTACAAGTGTTATTTAATACTTTGTATTTTCCCACATATATTATGGTCTGAGGCTTTACTGTGTATGGAGAGAGTCTAAGAATCGAGAAAAGTAATTAATATCTCCAAGAATTCTTGTACATAGAAAAACTGAGGAACTGTGGAGTAAGTCTTTTAAAGTGACTTGTGCCTTAGGGAAAACATGAGCCGCATATGTCTTGGAACACCTGACCACACTTGTTTTTCTGGCAACTTTGTTCCAAGAGTGGACATGACCTACTATGAACTCATGTATATGCAGTAAATAAAGCTTGCAGGCATGTTCTCTGCATCATTTTTTTCAGTCATATTGAACATTGAAGTAGGAAACATGACTGCTGTGGCATTACAGCGCATAAAGAAAGAACTTACAGGTTTCTAGATCGTCGGACGCATCTCCTTCCTCTTCGCTGCCATCTGCAATTATAAGTATTGGATTAGTGCATTTGCCATAGGTCTTCATTGTAATCAGGGACGAGAATATTGACAGTACAACCATGTGCATGGTCAATTCATGATCTACATTTATCCTGCGTAGCATTCCTTGCCGAGTAGCCCAGCACCTTAGACTGTGGAATGCCCTGCCTTCAAACAAAAATGCGTGACGGGTGGAGTAACACATTTAATTGTTATAACCGAAATGGAGATAATTGGTCAAACAGAATTTTATCGCCATAAGAGCGCAAATTCCCTTAATTGGTCATACGTCATTATCAATAAAAAACAATAACCAAAATTTAAAAATATCACAAGAACGAAGTTACGAAATAAATACATGGCTCATTCCACGCTAAACGTTCCAGGCAGTACGCTCGACCATCTCCGATAAGAATATAAAAGTTCATGGTCGATCGTTTGACTACACTAATCGCTTCCATTTTTGTTTTGAGACCAGTTTTCGGAGGAAATTTTTTCTAACTCCCAGAGCAATTTAAATATCGTGGCAGCGCCCAATAACTAGGTTGTGAAAAAAACTTGTGGGTAGAAAAACACAGCGTTTCCTTGGCACAACGCATTCACAGCTACTAGGTTGTCTCAAAATGTTCTTTGAGGGGAAGCAATGCGTTGTTCTTGGGCGATATTTAAAACATTTTTTACAGCTCTTACAACTTTTTATGAGATAATGCAGCTGCATAATTTGTTTGTATTACTGCGCAGGAAAATGGAGCACGAACCAACAAGCCGGCTTTGGTGCATTTAGGAGGCTGCCGAGGAACCCTCGGTGCAGTGAAGTGCGCTTACGGTCCGCCGTTGACAGCCTTGGGGGCAGCTCAATATAAATAATATTTTCTCGCGTAAAACAAAGATTCGTATTAAACTTACAGAAATAAATATCGTTTCTGCACCCTTTGAAATGATCCAAAGTGTATATTTTTATATGGAGCGCCACACAGACCGATAAGTGCCTGAACATGAGCAATATTGCAAATTTTTCAAAGTTCATGTGCCAGCGCTTCCAAACTACTGTCTTCGCGACTCGTGTTTTTCCCCCACTTACCGTCAACAATGCAAGCAAGCTATGCAGCTGCGTTGTCTCTGGAAAAGTTGAAAAGCTGTAAAAATTTCTGACTTTGGTCAAGAACACTGCATTGCTTCCCCGCAAAGCACATTAACATACACTAGTGGTGAATGCGTTTTAACAAGGAAATGCGGTTCTTTTCCTACCGACTGGAATCGTTTTACTGTGCTGCGTATAATATTTCACTTTTTCGAAGTTTCGTCGCAACCTAACTGCCACCATATTTAAGAAATTAAAATTTTCTTTAGAAAATTGGTTCCAAAAATGAATAGTGTAGTAAAGTGACCAACCACTACTTTTTATAGTGTAATCCTAGATGGTCTAGCGTACTGTCTGGGATATCTGGCGTGGAACGACCCTCATATCCTCCAAAATCCGAACACTAAACCCGAAAAAACGTTTGAAATGCCCAAGTCCATTCAGGGATTCATGAAACACGAATTAAAGAGAGCGAAACCAACCCTGGACTACGCTTTTCCTCTGAGGGAAATTACATGCATTGGTAAAGGCACTTAATTTTTGTGATAAAGTCAATTTACACCACTTGCAAAAAAACCCAAAACAAAACTTACGAAGAATAAAATACCCGAAAGTATTTGCCTTTTCATAGTCGAACCTGGCTGTGAAGAACGCAAAATAAACGCAAGCGGAGTTGGAATGCTGCGCATTAGTAGACAATTCTGTGAATTTACGCAAATGTATTCTGATGGCGAGGTGACCAGAAACTTTATTAAAGCGTTCATGTGCGCGTATTTGAGATTTCTGGCGCACAAGCTGATTTCCTGCTACGTGCAGAGCAAAATAGCCGGTCGTGAGAACGATAACCAACAAGCTCTCGTAGGACGTGCCAAGCAAGATTTAAACGTAAAAGTGATCTGCATTTACCGCATAACAGAACGATGTCCTCGTCTTCGGCGGCGGTGTCAACGCCGTAATCTCTTGCTTGCACCATCGGGCGGTCGCCAAGCAGAAGGCTCATTTTGTCAAACCACTTCCACTTTGACGGCTCCCCGCCACTTTTGCATAGGAGCAGGCGTTCCTGCGAATGCCAAAAAAGTCATTAGAAATTAAAGCGCCTGAAAACTTTTCGAATCAAAGCGAACAGGGAGGTACTTACAGCCGTGAAGCGTTTCTTCAAGTTCTTCCAACAGGTCCTTATTTGCTCCCACCTCCACGTCAGGCCCTGTTCCTTCAAACATCTTTCCAGGTCCATAAATATGTCCTTATTTTTTTGCCGCTTGCTATCGAGCAAATCACTCAGTTTTTTCTCGTCGACTAAAGCTAGCAACGTCGTTATTTCATCATCTGTCCACACGGTGCGTGGAGCCCGCGAGGATGTCATCGTGCCTAGCGCGCGCGTACCGGCCGACAGAGAAAGAGCAACGTCGGAGTGATGGGGACAGGGGAAGCGGATGTCTTTCGTGTCCTTCTTGTCTCTGTGTCGTCGTTTTGGTCTCGCGCTATAACTATCGTCATGCCATACCTACTAGCCCAAGCTGCCACACTTCTAAGGGCGGGAGAGGTCACAAACCGTCAACTCAGCGCGACCGTTTATACATGCTCTTTCTGAGCGCGGCGAGTTCGGTGAACCTACCCCGTCTCCGGGACTCGCCGCGTCGACTCTCCGCGTCTCGCCGCGTCGACTCTCCGCCCCGACGTGTCCGCTTATACATGGGGAGGGCGAGCATAAAGAAAGGAAAAGACCTTTTTTTTATTTCTCTATGGGGCGAGTCCAGAAAACCTGTTTATTTCGACTCAACGTGCAGGGCGGGGCCTCGCCGCGATGACGTAGCCACCATTTTCTTTTTTTTTCTCTCTCTGTCTCTCTCTCTATCCGTTTGACGGCGCGGTACGCGGTCGCTGTGGTGGCGTGCACTCCACGTGAGCGAGAAGCGTGCACTGTCTTGTTAAGTGGCCGGAAAATCGGAACGCAACGATGAGCGAGCCTCCTGACCGACAGAAGGTGATCGAAAAGTACCCCCAAGGATTACGTCATGGCGACGGCTACTCTCATGGCTACCTGAAGTCAGACGAAGAGCTAAAGCTTTTTGAGAGGTCCCTGGCTGCCGTCAACGAGAGGTATGCTGTGCGGTCATCAAGAGACCTGAGCAAGTCGTCTAAATGTGAGGATGTCTCGATTGCTTCTTAATGTATTGATCTGCGCGTAGATCTAGCATTGAAACACGCAGTAGTAATTTAAACCAGCTAGGGACACGGCAGGACAGGCTTCTTCTCAGTAGCGGTTATTGGTTTTCGCCTTTTTGAAGTTAGGGTTAGGTATCATTGTTTTCGTTACCGGTTCACAGTTCCCCACAGAACACCTACCAGTTTAGAGAACGGAAACTGTACCTATCAAAATAACATGCAAATACGTAGCGGCGGCGTACTGAACTGCAATACCGCGAGGCCAGATGGCGCTGGTAGTACTATCATTATCAATAAACAGACGCATGTTTTTTGGCTGCAGGTGGGGGTGGGGGGCTCGCGACTGGTTCGCGCTGCTCGCTTCCTCTGTTTTTTTTTTTTTTTCGTTGCCCAATCGCGTTTCGCGTCTGTAATTATCGCCAGGGGACCTATCTGGCCTCGACTGGCAAAAACAGCGTCAATCAAGTAAGGTTTGCATCGTTTATTGCGAGTGTCCAAGCCGGTACAATCAATGTATACGGTCGGGTCCGAACAAAACAAGTCACTCATACATATCGAAAGCTTTCAACCCATGTGTAAAGACTCTTGAAAGCTAACAAGCATATGCATATAACTGAACATCGAAATCGCTGAATGAACGTCGCTCTCATTGTGTTGCGGCTCGAGTTTAATAGCGTGGCTTCAGGACAAGGGTCCGTCCGATTCTGCCGTCAGATGCGGCGCTTGCCCCGTAGTGTTGATCTTGAAGGGAATGCATGATGTGGAATCGGGAAGGAAACTTGCACATTGCCGATAGATAGCTCGCGCAGTTAGAGCAATGTAGTTTTGCTAAATTTGTTAAATAAGCAATTGCGGGTGCGTGTACTCTGAATCATTCTTGTTCTGCAATGTTTCATTGAGTACTTCACAATTCTGCAATGTCGTGTCGAGAGGGTAGGCACTAGTTTTAATACTCAGCCGTGAGCCCATATCATAGGTATTATGTATTTAGGGGATGGGCCTAAAAATATTTCAGGCTTGCTACATTTATTGTTACAGTTAAGTTACACAGTTACCACAGCTAAAATTTCTCGTCGCAGGTAATGACCAGTCTGTTGAGTAGGCAGCGAACATGTATGCTAAAGGGACACTTATGAGGTGTGTGCTTACAGATCGAAAAGGCCCAATTCTAAGAAAATAAGTTTCAGGTATGCATTGTACAAATTTGTTGTCTGTACATCTTTGTTGGTACTCTTACATCACACTATCTGCTCAGCCCTGAGCACAATATCTTTTTTTGCATAGACATATCTATAGAACTTGAGTACTCTCTTGCAAGCAAGCACTCCTGAAATCGATTGGTGGTACATATGTGAATCTGTCCGAATACTGGTTCAATAAAGGTCACATTTATTACACGCTTGTTATTATGTTTACTTTTTCAGTATACTTGTGCTTGAAATGAAGTTGTTTTCTCCCTGCTCTTTTTAGAGGTTAGGACTTGAAATACGTACTATCTTACAGTGTGGCTGTAGATAAATGAAGATCATGTATGTTTCAACTACCTGTGCGATTTCCTAGATTTTTTTTCATGACCGTACTGCACAGAATTTCACTTCTTAGTTGTAGACACCATAGTTATGACAACTTAATTTAAACAGAAGCAGATGTGCACAAAGAAATCTGTAATGTTTTTCTGCCAAAAAAAAACAGTACCACATGCAATGAACACAATCTCGCTCTTTATGACAGCATTCACGTCTTTGAGGAAGCTGTGCTGCAACTGCTCATCACCTTTATGATTGATTATTTTAGGAGCCCATTGAACATATGTGCAAAGCTAAAGCGATTGAGTGCAGTCTTATGAGCTTTGGTGAATCTTTTTGTAAACTTGTATGAGCTAAACACAGTTAAGACAAAACAGTTCTGGGTGTGTTTGGTAAACTGTCACAAGGCACAACTAAATGTCGGAAAGCCTGTTAATGCCCATCACTGTGGGTGTGTTCATTATGTAGTGCAAATAATAATTTCCGACGATTCACATGCCAACTATGAAGTGATCGTGAGTCGTACAGTAGTGGGCAAATTTAGATTGATTCTGGCTTCCAGGCGTTCAAACAAATGACATTGTAGGCTCACAGGAGACAAGACTGCTTGTCGAAACATTTGCTTTGACCCCTTATGTTAACATGTTTTTCATATTTTTAAGCTTCCATCTTTTAAGGGTCAGTTTAGTTCACCTGCGCCAATCCGAACTGGTTCACAGCTGTACACGAGAAGTTCAGAACCTGTGCGGCAGGAGTTCAGCGGTGCAGCATCACAAGTGAATGACAAGGTGCCGACAAGGTGGAATCCTTATTTTCGTTCACTTAATTTAATGAGATGCAAACATCTTGGCAAAACACGCCGCATTTATAGGGGTGGGTACAGCACCTACGTCTAATGCTATGTTGTTTGTTAAGCTTGTGCGAGCGGCTGCACCAAACCAGCGCCGTCAGAGCAGAAGTTACAGTGTCATGAAATAGTTCTGGTTCTGTACCTCTCCTGCGCTTTTTGAAATGAATGGCAAGATTTAGAAGATGCCATAGCTGCGCCACTGAAACAAATGGCGAGGTGCAGCACTTTGTAAAATGGATCATGTGGTGCAGGCGAATCGAACAAACCCTTAAGCACACAAGCGTCTTAGCGTTTCACCCCCATCGA